CCCCCCCCCCAGCACGACTCTCCAGCACCCCAGCACCGAGCAGTTACCATGTCGTGGATGCAACGGGGCCAGTTTCTCCCCAGATGTGTTGGCTGAACATCTTCCAGGCAGAGGAAAAGTGGGGAAGGGTCAGAAATCCTCCAGTGAAGAGCTACACCTGGCTGAATCCCCCCCACCCCTTTATTTCCCCTTCCAACCACTGCAGGGTGAGGGGGGACACACATGCTCTGTGACACCATCAGTGTCCCCACAAAGCATAACCCACCAGTGGGGAGAGCTGGATTGCTGGTCAATGCACTTCTCTTCACCCTGAAAAGCAAAGAAGAGGCAGGTGGACAGCAGGATGCGCACACCAGGCGAGAGCTGAGGTGACCTGTCCAGAGCTGGAACTGGTTAGAAGGACCCTGAGAACATAAGAGGCTGACACGGTCACCCGGGGAACGCCGAGTTCGGTGCATCACAGTGATACTGGTTTGAACGTGTTCTGTACAGTGTGAAATGGGAGTTTGACAAGCACAGTATCCCTTCACCTGCTCTTTCCTATCTCTTCCTAAAGGCAGAGGTTGCTACGAGGTGATGAGAAACCTCATCACAGCAAAGCCGCAGAGAAAAATATAATCATCAAACTTATTTGGACACCCGAGTGAAAATTATTTAGGTGGCCACTACTGGTTTGAACGTGTTCTGTACAGTGTGAAATGGGAGTTTGACAAGCACAGTATCCCTTCACCTGCTCTTTCCTATCTCTTCCTAAAGGCAGAGGTTGCTACGAGGTGATGAGAAACCTCATCACAGCAAAGCCGCAGAGAAAAATATAATCATCAAACTTATTTGGACACCCGAGTGAAAATTATTTAGGTGGCCACTAGGAAAAATATTCCAGTTTATATATATATAAAAAAAAATAGGAAAGCAAGTGCAGGGCTACTGCAAGGTGCATTGCCAGAGGTACCAGGTCTTGCAAGCAGCCAACCTCCCCCCCACACACACACACACCCCCCCCAGTCCCCAAGACCCCAAGCACCCCACATCCCCAGCACTAAAGTATCTTCAAGCATCTTCCAGAGAGATCACATCACCAGAGAGATCACATCACCATTAGATCTGATCAGAGAGAGACCTCAGCCATCATTCGCTTTCCAGTCCATTCAGATGAACCAGATTTTGCACCCAACTGCTCCAGATGGCTCAAGTGATCTTCAAGAAAGCTGGTCCAAGGGCAGGCAGATGGCAAAGACACCTTTTCCTTTGCTGTCAGGCAGGGTGGTGAGCTGGAGCTCTGGGTCCAGTGTGGCAGCAAGGCTGATTTTAGACACGAAAGATACCCTAGGAGGAATTCTTTTTTTTTTTTTTTTCTCTATTTTTTTCTTTTTTTTTTCTTTTTTCTTTTTTTTTTTTGCAAACTGCTGCACAAAACCCACAAAAAAAAAAAAACCAAACCAAAAACGGGAGAAAAAAGCCTTTGGTCATGAAATACTTGTGAAGAAAGTGAGCCTTGTATGGAAGATTCCCCTGAATGCCTACAGTATTCTACATCTTAAAAAAATATATTGTGGACGCTGCAGCCATTACAAAGAGGGGAGGAAGTGGGAGATGGGGATTTACAGTCTCACATAGACACAACGGGGAGGTTAAGACAAGCACAGTCATAGTCTGTAAAACTGATTGGCTCGTTCAGATCAGTCATCCTCATCGTCCTCTTCATCTTCTGGATCTTCCTCTCCTTCATCCTCTAGATTTCGTTTTCTCTTTTCCCCTCGTGGAAGGTCTGTAAAAAGAGGTGAAGGGTGAAGCCTTGGTTCAGTCTTGGGGAACAATATTTGAACTGTGGCTTCCAGCAGCGTCAGCCACAGCTGGTTGGTGAACAAGCACGGACTAGACTGGCACCAGCATGGAGAGGAGATCCACCCTCGCCCAGTTTCTCATGGCACCCAGAAAACCTGGATTAGCACGAGATATGAAGTATTTTCTGTGCCCTCCAAGCAGCCCACATTTCAACAGCCGCTTGAAAACAGGTTTATTTTTGTTGAGCACCCCCAAAAATGTAGCATCTAGAGAATTCAGTCACTTCTGACCCAAGCTTTGAAGTCACATCAGCCCCTAGATTCTGTCAACACTCATTCGGGTGTTTATAGTTTGTTATAACCAGAGGAGTCTGAACTCCAAGTCACAGCATCCCAGAATCACCTCGATTGGAAAAGCCCTTTAAGCTCATCGAGTCCAACCATGAACCCAACACTGACCAGTCCCCTATGACTAACCCATGTCCCTCAGCACTGTGTCTACACGACTCTTCAATCCCTCCAGGGATGGGGACTCCACCACTGCCCTGGGCAACCCCTTCCAATGCCTCAGAACCCTTTCAGCAAAGAAATTCTTCCTCACATCCCATCTCAACTGCCCTGGGTGCAACTTGAGGCCATTTCCTCTTGTCCTCACTCAAGCAGCTCAGATCTACCCTCCTCAATACAGCTGAGAAGAACGTGTCTCCACAAGCATCTCCTCCACACGCTGCTCACAGCAGTTTCTGTGACAGAAGCCCTTCTCCTGCACGGACTATCAGTTCAAGCCACTTAGAACTGGGTTTTTAGGCAATGTGCCTCTAATATTTGGCACTTCCCCAGCTCAGTTGGCATTAGGAGGTACTGAAACCCGTCTCCCCATCCCCACTGCCTGGCCCTTTGGTTATAACAACTATTCAATGGTCAGCTGAGGCAGCAGCACTGCACTGGAGCTTGGGAAGCTCTACAAAACCATCTAATGTGTGACCCTATCAAGGCAGCTTTGCAAACACTTTGTTAGGATTTGACTCACCATCATCAGCTTCATCTTCTTCATCATCTTCACCATCTTCTTCCTCATCTTCCTCCTGGAGCCAAAACAAGATGTTTTATTGCAAGAACCACTAATCCCAGGAGCAAGTTGTAATTCCACAGCAATATCTTCCTTCACCTCTGCTCTTGCCCTACTCCAGCCTCAGGGTGGCAGGGAGAAGCTGTTGGTTCCTAAATAGCTTCTTGCATCCCTACAAAGGGGGTTCTACAATTTTATCATGTGAAGCCATGGGAAGTACCAGGCCAAGCAATGAAAAGTCTGAACTGGGAAACTCTGTGGCTCACGAGTCCAAAGGTGTGTGGGGAAAAGCCAGAGGACGTGGCAGTGCTCCTCAGATCTGCCCACAGAGGCATCTGTCACATCGGGTCAGAGGGGTCACCCGATTAAGGGACAAACACAGCAATGTGGTGCTGCAGCTTTATACTGATGGCAGAAAGCCTCACCTCATCATCTACTCCATCATCATCTACTCCATCCTCCTCCTCTTCACCTTCCAGATCATCATCTTCATCTTCTTCATCATCAATGACTTCTTCATCCAAATCATCTTCCTCCTCATCATCATCCTCTTCCTCACCTTCTACCAAAAGAAGAGAGATGTGTTACAGTTCCCAGACACTCACTATCCCCCAACAATGCGCTCGCACCTCCAACCCCAGCGAGCAGGAAATGGACACACAGAGCAGTGGTGCACGAGGAACGCTGGTGAGAAGCCCCACAGCCTGCAGCACCTCTCATTCCTTACACAGCCTGACAAAGGAGGGAGCAGGGTGACCCACGGCCCCTATTTTAGTGGTAAGTTAGCACCATTTATTCAGCAACATGACTGTGCAGAGAAGGGGAAAAGGGGTTTGTTCTCCAGCAAGAAAATAAAACATGAGAAAATTCTCACCTTCCCCATTCTCATACTCATCTTCCAGTCCATCCCCATCTGCTTCAGGGTCTGAGTCAGGGGCTTCCTGGTCATCAGCATCAAATCCATCTAGGTAGGTGAGCTGGGGCAGAAGGGTGAACACGCTCTCCCGGTAGTTGATGAGCATCGTCACCTCACAGTTGAAGAGGTCCAGACTATGCAGGTTTGGCAACTTTTTCTGCAAAGATCAATTTGTGAAGATGATTTCCAAGTAGGACACTGTTTGAAGATCAGGCAGCCATCAGAGGACAGCTGGTTTGCTACCCAGATCTAGCACAGAAGTGTCTTTGCATGCATTATCAGCACCATGTGCTCCTCAGATGGAGAGAAGTTATCGCTCTCGCTAACTGTAGGCAAAGAAAACGTCTTTCCAGCTCCTCTGTCCTAGTTTCCCCTCCTTAGAGCCAGTTCCCTGTGAAACCATTTGCAAATCTCCTGAATGGGGTGGGCACAGAAAAGCCCAGCTCCTCCAGCATGAGGGCTCACAGACCTGGACTCATCCTGCCCAAAACACGGGGCAAAATACTCGAGAGCACAACACAGGGAGAGCTGAGACTGCGCCCACGTGTCTTCCAGCACAGCCACAGCGAAATCTCTGGCTCAGGCCATCGCACCGTGCGCCAGGTCAAGTGAAAAGAGGAGTAAAACACTTTCAAACTCTTTCTGGAGGGGATGGAGGGATCAAAGGCAACAGCTAATGAGGCAAATGTCCCAGGTCAGACCTTTCAGCTACAGAGTTGGGATCACAAGGCAAGAAAGAGCCTCCTCCCAGGCAGGTCAGGCGCAACGGCAGCCCCCTGCAACGCATGCTGTGCCAGCACCCAGGGCGAGGGGGTCCCAGCCCAGCACAACAGCACCTTGGGACTGATGCGATGGACACCCTCACTGGTGTCCAAACAACTCATCTCCATGACACCCCAGGTGCCACCTACCTCAAACTGCATCCGACCCATTAACGGTCCTTTCTCAGATGGACACTGAGCACTGCATCCACAGTTTTACTCATCCAGCCCAATTTCATGCTTCTTTTAGCAACTGGCTGCTGGTTTTCCAGACAGAGGAGCCATTAACTATTAGCCCAGCCTCAAATTGGACCCACTCATCTGTTCCCATCAGAACCACGAAGTGCTGTTGGAACAGTTACCAAGACGTTGGACTTCTGCTGCACAGACACTCTCCCCAAAGGAAACAACGTCATCCCTTAGATTCCAGCACAGCTTTCCACTCACCAAGGGCTCCAGGGTATTGATGTCTTTGATCTTGTTGCCACTTAGATTCAAGTGTGTCAGGTTAGGAGTTCTCTCTGCTAGAACTTCAAGGCCACCAGAAATCCTGTTATCACTCAGCTCCAGCTGCCAGGAGGGAATAGCACATGGTCACAAAGTGTCTCAGCTTGCGACATGGGGAAGAAAATTGTCTTGAGAAGCAGATTACAAGGAGCACCCAAGTTCCAGACCCTGTTTGTTAGATGACACCATAGAGCAGAAGT